GGATAATATGATTTTGATTTTTTTTTTCAACTTGTGGTTGATTGATCTCAAGATGTTAAATAGTTGTTTGATCTCCAAAGGATGTTATGAAGGTATAAAATAATGATCAACCACAGTTTTCATGAAATAGGATTTTATGTATTTATAGTAGAGATATATTGGATAGTATAAAATAGATAGAACTCTTGAAAATTGTGAACTAGAGTTTTTCAAAAAACACCTTGCTCGAGCTATAGTCGACGTGACAAGTGAGCAACAATGATTCTGTTTTGGATGCTCGAGCATTAGTTGGTGACAGGCTAGCATAATTCCGACGACTCTTTCTCCATGTTTCCTATTCAAATCTAAAGACTCGTAGTTTATCAATACAACATCCTAAAAGGCTCCTTGACTTTTATAACCTTTTATAATAATCATTTTGTCTAAAGAATAGCCTATACAAAATAAATCCTAACAATCTCTCTTTAGCGTTTTGCGACAAAAACTATACAATACAAGTTAATAAAGTAAAAATAAAACTAATCTACCCAAAGTCAAACTGCATATCCGTCTCTTGCATTCTTTGTTAAACAGCTTTTCTGAAATCAACAATTTAAATACCAAATGTAAAAGCACGTGAAACAAAATATATAAAAATTGAAACACACTATCATAAATATGCTAGCTAGATTGAAAAGTAATACAAATGTTAATCAAAATAACAACTGAAATATTAATATCACAAAACATCAAAACTCAAAAATACTATTATCTTTATCTGATGCCATCATCCCCCCTACTACAAATTCTCCAAAAAAATGCCAAAATGTAAATAATGCCATTATCTTTATCTAATGCTATCATCTCTCTCCCATTTTTGTTACAGATGATGAAGGAAACTATATCATATGCAATTATCTTCTTCTCCCTTTTATTTATTTATTATCTAATGCAATTATATAATAACTCAAAGATGTAGTTGATAGCATGCACAAGCATAATCAATTATAAATAAACTTTCCCACCACTCAGTTCAAGTCAAGATAGAATAAATTATATAAGTGACCCGTGTGTGTAAAGTGTCACCAATCATTTGTAAGCAGGACTCTAAATATAAATTTTGTAAGAAATGATATGTTAACCATCACTATCAATAAGTTTATTCATCTACTTATGACAGTCAAACCAATAATAACATATTAGAGCCTATAGAAGAAACTCATTTTATGTATATTATTCTTTTCTTCCCTTGAATTTGAGCATATAAATGTAATTTATTTATTTTTTTTTAAATTTTAAAGCTCATCAATTTTTTCTATTCGATTTTTTTTTAATCTTATGTGCAATATCTTCTCTATTAACTGACTAAGATGATTGTTGTAATGATCTTTAGGCTGATTAACCCAAGTCAATAACCGTAAGCACCAAGTTATGAGAAACCCCACAAGCTTAATTTCTTGATTTAGACAGGCTACGAAGAAGAGTATAAAATATTGAACTTTTTTCCTTTTAAGGGAATATACTTGAGGTTAAGTCTACTAGAATAAGGTCTGTTCAGGTTCAAAGTCACATTATCAACATATGACTGCCATCCAAGTCTCACAGATATGGTCCAATCCTACTTACAATATTATATTGTGCATAGTGCAGATGATACTTGAAGAAACATATACTAAGTACTACATAAAAACTTTAACAAATAATGGAAAATATGCTATATTATATCAATTAAACTCATACTTGATCACAACAAACATGTTCAACGTCAAAAAAAAAAAAAAAAATTCTTTTTCTTTCTTTTTTTAATTGATAAAACATGAATACACCAAACACACAAAATAAAAAATATGCAACACAAAACAAAACATAAAAAATGTACTTGCCAATGCAATCAAAACGAGATGTATGCTACCATGAGTAAGCACAAGCATGGACTAAAAATACTAACTCGCTATGGCATAAAACTTCTCCCTCCTTGAAGAGCAACACAACCAGCATTATCAGTCAGAGCATCTCTTGTTTAAAGAGATCACTCTTAACTTTGACTTGTCTAGTGGAAGAATTATTTTGAGTCAACTGAGTTATTAACTCGATTAATTGACTCGCTTGATTAATAAGGAAGTTAATCCAACTATCAACATCCTTTTTTCTATTTTTATTTAGGAGTTTATGACACCTAAACCTTATATGTCCTAACTCACCACAATTGAAACAAGTAGGGATAAAACTTAGGTCTAAAATTATATGGTTCGCTGATATTTATTCCTAGGTTGGTAGGTCCTACGCTAGTTAGTAGGTTTATGTCTTACGATACTCTTGTTCTTGAGTTCAGAATTAGGAACATACTTAGACTGATTAATAGCAGGGACAAAAATGTTTTGGGAAGTACTAGCTCTACTATAATTGGTCTCTTTATATCCAAAGTGTAAATGGCTGAAACTTATTTAGGCTTTAAATAATGACATTCTATAGTTCTTTTGATGAAATATAGCTTAATTCGTGTTATATTGTATCTAATAGGTAAAACTCATGAGTTGATAAAGATTTGGAGAAAACAAACAAAAAATCAAGAAAATTGGTAAAATCAAAACTATGGGGACTAAAATGTAATAATAATTCAAAAGTTGTTTTGGATTGCGAGATGACGATTCAAGAATGCTAATAGTCAATTGGAGTTGAAAAGAAGTCAATAAGATGAGAAATTGTCGAAAACGATCAAAATACACACATGAGAAAGTTCATGGACCAATTTGCCCAAATATTTGTACCCTTGCGTATGCTATGGCCACAAAAAGCATTATCTAAGGCCAAATTCTGTGTATTGTGCATACGCACCAAATGAAGCATGCATACGTATGTTTTAATTTCGAGAAAAATATGGTGTTTCCTTATTTTGTTTTGGAGACCTTTGGTATGCAATATTTGGGCACTCCATATATACGATAGATTCTAATCAATTTTGAAAGCAAAGAACAAGGATAACAACCTGGAATCAAGCCGAATTGCATAGGATATAGAAAATTCTTCATCCAGATTCAAGATTCACATCAAAAGTATGGAAATAAATCCTATTTATTTATCATTTCTTCTTTCTGAGTGTTAATTTTCCAATTGTTCTTTTGTAATTTAATTCTAAATATGTTAGGCAGGTTTTTCAATTGTATTAAATGGGTGTTTGAACCCTATATCATTTATATCAATTCAAGACATTCATTTAGGAAGTTCTTGTGTTGTTTGATTGATTTTACATATCATTGCACTATCTGGTTGTTTTGTCATCAATTGAATAATTAGTTCGTTGTAGTGTAACAATATTCATAATAAGTCTAGAAAATAATAAAATCAACATGTGTAATTAGAATTTGGAATAATAGCTTTTCACACATGCAATCTTAATGATAATCTAAGCTAGATGCATGACTTTTATATGAATTCGGATTAAGAATATGATCATTTCATGTTAGTCATAGGTAGGCGTATCTTGGGAAAGAGCCTTTAACATATTAGCTTTATCGATAGTCAAACATACATGAATTGAATATATTAATTATTGAGAGTTGAAATAGATAAAAATAGGAGGATACATGAATCCAATACAAGCAATCACATAAACAACATCACATTTACTTGCTTCTTAGAGTAGAAATTAGTATAAATAACAAAACTTGATTCTCTTTTGATGTTGCTACGCTTCGAATTTGATAAAAAAAAATATTGAATTACAAAATAGACTTTATTCCTCATGATAACGATACTCTTTACTCACAAATCTTATAATTGTACAACGATTTTGCATGTTTGCGAAATTATCTTGAACATAAGCTATAGTCTTTAAACTTATGAATTATTCCAAAATAATCAAAGTACTTTGGACTATTTTAAGTCCTAAATTGAACCTTCAAAACTTATATGGCGGAGGTAACACTAGAAGTCATCTTAATTAAAATAACAAGTTACCTTCCAAAATAGTTGATACTATAGATATTAATGAGGTGTAACTTTTTAATATGTAATCGAATTCAAGTATACAAAATAGTTAATAAGTTTTGGCTTCTTATTTTTCATTTAAAAGCTAGAATAAGGGTTAGTTGTTTCATGGTTGTTTTGATATAATTCCATAAAATACTGGAATTCTTCCGATCTTCAATCTTTCTCAACATTCTATGGAATTAACAAACTAGATTAAATTGCAGTGTGGGGGTTCGATTCCTGAAACATGGAATTGGACTCCTTGTAGGTGCAGTGTACAGGCAGCTCTTGTTTCCCAATTTGTTGGGGCACATTCTGCGATTTACCTTCCTCATAAAACTCTAGGGGTGGGGCCCTCAAGGTTTGGGTTCAACCTCCTTTTTTTTTTCTTTTTTTTTATTATTTATTTTTAAACAAACTAGATTAATTTTTAAACAAACTAGATTAAGTTGTTATTATCTATTTTCGGTGCTTGTGCTACATCGATTGGTATCAAAGCCTCACGCTCTTTGTGATGCCTTCTTTACGATCACTCCAAGAAGACGTGAGAGTCCTATGACGAGTAGATATTAGAGATTTACCTAAATTTTTGACCTATCATGGTAGGATAGACATTGGGACTGTAGTGGTCGACTTCTTCTAGATTAGGGAACTTTGGAGACCGACCATTAGGAAGTCCAAATCATTTAAGGGCGTTAGAAACACAAGCGCGTGCTTCGAGTCGTCATGGAACCCAAGACATTGCGATCAAGAGAGGCCCTTTAGGGGACAATAGGCTTGAAGGTTGGTTCGGAGTGGTCGTGGCTGCACTTAAATTATTTATTATTTACTTATTTATTTTTTTAATACAATTTAATTTTAGAATTATAAAATAAAATTAAGTCCCTGTTTGTTTCTTATTCTTTCCTCATTAAAATAAAAAATATAACCGTTATCTGTCATATCGAAATATCAAATTTGAGTTTCTATCTCTTGTGTAAGGTATATAACGATTATATTTTTTATTCTTATTTTTACAAAACCTAGAAATAAGAGCTGTGGCATTGGTGCGACTTTCCCGCTGCAGAATTGTGCCTAGGTCACATATCTATTATACTCGCCACGGTTCCCTCAAGTTTGAATTTCCTTATTTTCCCTCTCTGTGTCTTTTCCTTTTCTTCACATATTGCCCAAATCTTGTTCGTAGAAATGCCCGAACAAAAATTCAAACCCACAGAACAAATACCCACAACTGCTCTTAGAAGATCCCCGAGGTTTCTCCAGTCTAATCAACCCGAACAAGGAAACCCAGTAAGCAGAAAATCTGAACCCAGTAAAATTTGGCTCCAGAATTCTTGTCCCACCCCCATTTGCTCCGCATTGCAAAGTTGCTCGAGCAAAACCCAGAAGGATGAAGTTTCCACGAAGCAAAAGGGAACAGCTATTTTCTCTAAAAGATTGAAAAAATTGAGTAATGGGTCAAGAAGATACACGAGATCTGATGGTAGAGCTGATATGAGAAACAATGGGAAAGACATTGATTTGGGGAATAAATATGTGATAGAAAGGAGGGTGACCCGGAGATTCAAAGAAGAAGTTTCAAGGAAGCAAAAGGAAATGGATACCGGGTCGAGAAGGTTGAAAAAACTGACTACTGGGTCAAGAAGATACGCGACATCTGATGGCAGAGCTAGGAAGAAAAATGGAGAAGGCATGGATTTGTGTAAGCAATATGTGATAGAAAGGAGGGTAACTCGGAGTTTGACTAGGGAAAATAGGAATGTAATTGTGGAGGTTACTGAATGCGTTCCAACGAATGATTGCAGTAACAGAGCAACGGTTTTGTCAGACGAAGGAAAGGCTGAATTGGGTGTAAATTTGTCTGCACAATTTGCTCGTAACGCTGAGAAAAGGGTCGTTCCTTGGCCTGGTCGAGTGACATTCAGCGAGCACTTTGAGAAGGGCAGCAATGATTCGACTGATTGTTTGAATAAAGTAAAGGCGAAAGGGTCATTACCTAAACAAAGTATAAGTAAATTTGACGAGCATGAATGGGATGCTATAATTGCTGGAGGAGATGAAAAGGAAGGGAATGGGTGTAGAGGAAAGACATTGATCCATGAGAACAGGAGTAGAAGTCGAATAGAGGAAGGGCATAGCATTGTTAAAGGATGGACTAAGGAACAAGATTTGGCATTGCAAAGAGCTTATTTTACTGCAAAGCCAACGCCTCACTTCTGGAAGAAAGTAGCTCAGATGGTAATGCATCTCTACTTTTCACCATTATATTTATTACGCTTTGAGTTCCTGTTTCCTTTTTCTTCTTTGTTGCGTTTTGCTTTTCATGCTACTTCTTTTATAATTTATCATATGGCTCTTAATATAGGATCCAAGCCCATTATCAGTGTCATTATGCAATTGAAAAGGAGCTAGTGCAACTTATGACCACCAAAATTGCATCATTTGGCAGCAACAGTAATACACTTATGCAGAGGCAGCTTTGCTAAACAGAATAGAAAATAGGGGGCTTAGTTAGTTTTAGTTTTCTAGTTACTAAAATGATGCGGTCTGGACGCCTTTCCAGAGCATTTTGAAGCATTGATCCTTTGATATAGGCATTCCGCAGGAACTTTTGCTGTGGACGTAGTCATTTTCCTTAGTGGGGCTTAAATCACTTGTTAACTCATGACTGAGAAATAATGGAAGAAAACCTTTCTAAGTTAGCAAACTGATGATAAAGGAGTGAGGAATAGAGAAGGGGAACATAATTCATGAGTCTGATGAGTGTAACAAGTATAACTCTGTCTGCAGTGAGAAAATTCATTCTGTTTTGGAACTGAATTTGCAAGACTGCCCCTGAAATCTGACTTTTGGGAGGTGGTAAAAAGCATAATAGGAGAAATATTTAGCTGCTCCAGCCCCTAATATGGCAAATTGAAGAGGCTAATTGGGTTTAACTTGACTGATGTTTATTTGCTGGCAGAGAATAAAACTTAGTCCTGTTCTTATTTAAATACGCAATATTTAGAGAAGTAAAACACGGTCTAAATTTTGTCTAAATACGTTAACTTCTTTCATACTGTTTTGTCAAATTTGAATGCATGGCTAATTTGTGTTGACTATTGCTTATAAGGGCTATTATGGGAAGCATAAATTATTTTGGGTTTTCTTAGAATATTTGTAATTTGTAAAGAGCTTCTTATATTTTTCCCCATCTTTCTTTTCTTTCATCCAATGGCTGTTCTTTCACATGCCTAAAAGGCATTTAGAATGTTTGTCTCTTGGCATGGTCCCCACCGAGAGGGCTTGTGTAAATTCTTAACTTCAGAGGGTCTATGGAATTGACCCCATAACTCGGCGTGGATGGAATTCAACCTCTGATTGTTACTTGAGTATGCGTCCTTTAACAGCTGAATGTAAAACTTTTTTATTTTGATCTCTCCCATTAGCCTGGTGACCGATATAGAATAACTCTATTGGTCTGAGGTTCTAATTTTACCACCTGAACAGTTGGAAGTGAATCACCAACCAAAAATGACTCATGGAGCTCTTAGTGCACCCAGCTTCTATAGAATGAACGATAGAAGTTATATTTAATTTTTAGATCTTGGCTGCAATTACCTTTTGTCATCTTCTAGTTTTTTGTCTTCAATAAATGCATTCATCATGTAGGCATATATGTCTACATCACTTAAATTATGATTGTTAGTGTTATGATTCTGAGTTGCAATTTTATAAGGTGAAAGTGCGATTGCCTCTAGATTGCTTATATAAGTCTTAGTTTTAATATTAAAAAGTGTAGGTTCTTATTTAAATTATGGATAACATTAACATCTAAAGTGGATTAGATCATCCTTATCCCTCGAGTTTAATCAGCATTGAAAATTTGGGAAACGCAAGAAGAATTTGCCCGTCTTTTTGTGCGTATGAGGTTTGAAGTATGCTTCTTTGTTTTCCTACTCTTCTAATGGAAAAGAAAAAGTTATAGTCTCCCTATGAATGATCTTAAATCAGCATTGGAATTCTAAACAGGTGCCTGGAAAATCTGCACAGGAATGTTTCGATAGAATTCAATCAGAAAACTTGACTCCATCTCAACCTCGAGCGTGTTCAAGGGTAAGGAAAAAGAATGAATCACCCCTCTCGCTTTCTGCGGGTAAATTGCTGAATTCTGCTGAAACAAAAATTAAAAAATTTAGATCCAGCAAGAGGAAGAGCCTTCTTGCACTGAAGACTGTAAGACAACTAATAGAAAAGCAGCAGAATACAGATTATGAAGCAGATTTGTTTACAGTTCTTGAGCCGACAACAAGTCCGTCTACTCAATTTTTTCAGGAGAGTGCAGAATTTGCCACCCCAGAACAGAGCAAAAAAGGACTTGGCTTCCTAAAAAAATGCCAGGAAAAATCTTCTTCAGCTCATAAGAAGCAACTTTCACGATTAAAGAGTTCGTGTAATACAGCTTTTGTAAGTCCCCCAGTTCTAAAACAGATTAAAAACAAAGCGTTACATGAGAAATACATAGATCAGCTACATTTGAGGGAAGCCAGGAGAAAGGCAGCATCAACAAATAATGCCAAGTGTGTTAAAAGCAAAAACGACAAAAACAACTGTCATTTAGAAAAAGGAAATGCAGTTAAAGCTGCAAAAGATGCTCTGCTTTTTGATACACAAGAAGCTATCAATCAGCTCCGACAGTCGAGCAAAATAGACATTGATGACATTGACTATGATTGCTTTCTTAGTGATGAGGATGAAGGTGAAGACAGATTTTTATAATTTCTCTTCTTTTAATCAGTCATAATCTCATTTGTAACTATAACATGCTTCAGTAATCTAGCTGAAATTGTCCATGTTTGAGTCCTGTAATACGGCAGTAACAGGATCCTAGTATCCATCTGAGGTACAACATTTCTGTAAGAAATAAAAAATGCTGATTCATATGGGTGTTCCTTTTATTCCTGTGAATTGCATCACATTTCATTGTTGTTGGGTGATTCAATACTTGGTATTGGGCTGTGTTAATCCTTTCTAGTTCTTTACTTTAATCTTCATAACTGTAAACTGATAGCTGATTCCAGAAAGTTGCTGGGAATCAGCACGTGCACGTCACTAAATTAAAAAATGGGGATGCAAGTTCATTGCAACTAGTTTAGCCTACTCTAAATTTATTTGTGTTTTGCTCGAGCAGTCGCTAACAATTAAAAATGGATCAGACGATTGTGTAAGGAACAAACTTTTTGAGACAGTCTCAAAAAGGAGTGTTTTATTGGCGATAACTTTACAATTGGAACTAAACAGAATACCTCCAAGGGGCGCAAGCACACGAATACTGAAAAGAAATGTTTAAGTCTAAACTAAGAAATTGAAATTATATATTCTCTGTTTGAGAGTGTTTGATTCTGGGGTTTTTTGCTCTATGTGTTCTCTTCCTTTTATATTTTCTTGATGATTTCTTCGTGATCAACTGCTTAGAAACTGTTTGATTACTTTATAACTACTCATTTTCTTTATGGTGGCTAACTTGTCGTGGAACTGCCGTCTCTAACTGTTGTCACTACTCTTTGTCGTTCAACCGTCTTCAACTGAACTCCTTGAATCGTGGAACGTGATAAGGTTACTTGATAACTACTTCAATAATTGCACTTCTGGATAACCATAACATCTTATGTTTGTTAAGATCCTGGGCGATTCGAAGGTTTGGGCGAGAACAGGGTCATAGCTCTGGGCGACTGTAAGACACTTCATTCGCTCAGATTTTGGGCGTCTTGCAAGTTTGGGCGATGATGTTACTATATTCGTGAGCTTCCACTACATTCATTAATAACCCTATCTGAGCCTTTATCCTAAATTGCCCAGTTGGGTTTCATTCTTTGGGTTATTTGATTTGGGGATTCCTCAATTGGGCTTCATTCCCTGGGCTATTCGATTTGGGTTGCACTTTTAGTGTGTCAACAATTACCCCCCAATATGGCAAAATTAATATCAATTATTAATCTTTGCCATATTTACTTTGTGTTTCCCAGCAACATTTGAAATTCCTAAGAATTTCAATCAATATTTCTTTCCATAGCCTGAAAAAGTGCTACGCTACAAACTCTTATAAACCCCAAAGACACGTCATTTCGTTGTACCACTAAATCACGTATCATTATTTCGCGTTTCTTTCTCGTCGTACCACTGTTCATCTTCTTGCTTCTCTACTACGTTTCTCGAGCAAACTTTAACAAAATTGTATTTCGTTCCCAATGGCTGCTCCACAAACCCAATCTGACGACTCTTTTAGCTTCGACGATTTCCGAAAAATCCTCACTCGGCCATATGTAAATCCGAACTTTCTTGCACCAGCCAATGCCAAACTTAATGAGTTCTAGCTGGGTCCTTCATTCACCAACGTCGAAACCGTCGCACAAGTGGCGGTAGGCCAGCTGTTTCCTTGTACTCAAGGCCCTCCATTCCTGAACTCTTTGCCGCTGAGGCCTATTCGTGAAAAAGGTATTCGCACTTGGCTCAAATCTGATGTTGTTTTCCGTAGATGGCATGCTCGCTTTGTGGGCCATGGTCCTACCAAGGCAATTTTTGATCGTGCTAGGATTTCTGATTTATTAGAAATCTCTCTTCAACCCCCAATTTTTGACCCAACACTTTTTTCTATTGCTTTAAGTTTTTGGTCTTCTGAATATAATACTTTTGTTTTCCCTCTTAGTCCCATGTCAATCACTTTAAGGGATGTTGGGGCCCTGATAAATTTTCCACCTTTGGGCGACACCATTTTCCCTGATATTTTGATTTCTGGTGTTGCCCAAAAATTTGACAAAAAACTCACCGAGTCCTATTCAAGCTTGCAAAGCTGTCATAATCACTCAAATGCTGAGCCTTCCCACACTGAGCGTGTGGTCTTTTTTCAGATATGACTTTGTAAATATATTCTGTGTGTACCCAATTTGAAGTCTTCTATGAGCTATTTACCCATAGCGCACGAATTAGCACGTGGTAGGCCTTTGAATATGTGTTCCTTTTTTTTGGCTGCCCTCTACAGAGGCGTGGCTTCTCTTTAATTTCAATTGAAAAATGGTGCATCTCCCAGTGGTAGTGACCTCTTTGGTTCGCTCAACTGTGGTTGAGAGCATATTTTCCATCACTTGGTGCTCTATCTATGTCCCTTCGTTTTGTTAGCTGTTATGGACTAGCCATTGACCTATTGAGCCCTGTAAATATGTCTAGAAGGGACATTTTTTTCATTCTTTTATACTTTAAATTCAATTCCTTCCTTCTTTCCCTTTCCTGCTCATTTAACTCCAGATTATGTGCAACCTCCATCCATCCTGGACAGTGTGAGTGCCTCTCTGCTCGTTTGGATTCAGTTTTTGATTGGGAGGGAGTTGTTCTATGATATTTTAACTGGAACCAATGCCAAAGATGAGGTTGAAATATATGCTCCCTAATTTTTTGCTCGCCAACTTGGTTTTGGCCAAACTTGGCCTGTTCCCCCTTGTTATTCAAAAAATTTGATAGACTGCTTTCACACCATTAATAAGGTAGAGGCACAAGTTATAGATGCTCACAATATTCTTTTGACGAGTAACTTTTCATTAGCCCCCTTCAATCCTAGCCGTGCCGTTCATCCCCTTTTTGAACAACTCTGGCCATCAGTGAAATGCAGATTGTTTACAATTGATGTCAATCGTGCTTTCCATTCACTGGATCAACCGACCATTCCTTCCACTTCTCCTATTTTGGTCACCCCTATGTCCATTAGGAGTCCTTCCTCTCCTGCTCGTGCTAAACAATCGGTTCGTCCCTCTACTTCTCTACCTGCCAAACCTACTGCAGCTAAGAGCGCCCCAAGCCGCAAACGGCCAGCTTTAGCATCTCCCATTTTGGAGGATGATGATGATACTCCTCTCATCGTCAGGAGAAAGGTAATTGAATTGAATTCTGTTTACTCACAAGCATACCTTTCTATGTGCTAATGGTTTTCTTGAATTTCTCAGAAAATTTTAGCCTCTCCTTTGAAGGCTTTGGTGCTGGCAGCTCCTGCTCCATCATCCTCTACTGGAGTTGCTTCGTCCAAACCAGCTAATGAAGGGACTACGCTTAAAGAGAAACCTTCAGTCCTGGAACCTTCATCACAATCAATGGACGAACCACCTTCTTCCCAGGGCGCCGACCCCCCAAACGTTGAACCAGAAGGTAATACATTTTTGATGTTTTACCTTTGCTTGTGCTATTGGTTTCTGATTTGTTGCTTCTTTAATCATGCAGAGGCTCCCATGGGTCTGCCTGTTGTGGTACAGTCTTCTCATCCAGACAGGGGGAAGTCTCCCCTGGTGGTGGGGCCATAGGTGGTGGAGCCAACTGGTGATATGCCACCCCCCAAGATTGTTGATGAGGAAACCTTTTGCTTCACTTTTATTTTCACTTTGTTTATTGTGGTGAAAACCTTCAATGTTGGCATTTTTCTTTGCAGGATGCTGATGAGATTGTGCGTTCTATCCAAAACTTGTTCACTTCCCGGAGGCAAGTCAAGACGTTTTGCCTTGCTTCAACCGGTCGTCCTTCTGCTTCTTCAAAGGAAGATATGAAGTTCCTCAAGCAGTCAATATTTGAGTACGTATCTTTTATGGATATGGACATCGGTCAGGCTAGTGCTGTCAAATATAAGGATAAACTTGAGCATTTGAGTGCAAAATTGGCGCAAGTACTGACACTTCCGTCACTCAACATTTCTGCTGATTTTAAAGCGACGTTGAAAGTTGTCCCATCTGACATCTCTTTGCTGACCAAAAATGTTGAACTGAAGTCCAAGAGTACTCAATATCTTCGCGCTGCATCTGAAAGAGAGTCTTTGTTTCGGGAGATCAACAGAGCTGAGGGAGAATTGAAAGAAATCTATTCCGAAGTTATGATTGAAGAATCTTTGATGACCAGTTTGGTTGCACAAATGAAGGAGCTTCAAGCAAGGATGATGATTGCAAGGCAAGAATGGCTGTTAAAAAGCGTAATGCTTCCCAAGGAATTGAGCGAACCAAGTCTTTGGTCGAGCAGTACAAGAAGCTGGAGGTTGATAATGATTTAGTAGCTGAATTGAATATCACTTCTTCTCAGCAGAGCGAGGATTGGGGGAGACTTAGGGAAAGAATTCGTTCGGTCTGGGGTGAATTGTAATTAAGACATCTAATGCCTTGACTTTTCTTTTTGTAACTTCGTATTAACTTTCCTCTTGTAACCTCGTACTGATAGCCATTGTCAATTTTGGATGTAACAGCAACCATTGTCATTAATGAACAACTAATTTGTCTTCTTGTGTATTTATTGACGTTTGTCCTTAATTGTCAACCCCCCAAGCATTTAATTGCTTTATGATAAGATTCATGTACATTCTATTTTGGTATTTCTATCTCTTTTCCCAAGACTTTGGGCCCTTTGACTCCAATTACTAGACACGAATGTAGCTACTCATATTCTGTCTCTTCACCTTCACGCCCCTATAAATGCACGTATATTTCGCACTTTTCATTTTCATTTCTATTTTTTTCTTCAAAAACTAATTTGTTGCCATCGTTTGGCATCTCAACGATCGATCCAAAATTTACGTCTTCCACAGAAATGGATCATTTGATCTGCCCATTTTGCCACCTATTTTGATGTCACCTTTAGTATGAGAGATATAGGAAATATTCTTTGGCCAGCAAAGTTCTTCCCATCGTCTCCATGTTCTTTACAAGGAGTTCAATGATGGAAGACAATTTTTGAGGATGCCTGTCAAGCCACCTTGCTTGCTGAGAGTGCTTCTCAGTCTCCTTGCCCGTTATTGCAGCGATGCATTTAGGTAAGCGAGGTGAGGGTGCTTCTCTTCCCTTCTGTTTGCTGAGAGTGCTTCTCGGCCTCTCTGCTTACCTTTGCAGCAGTGCGATCAGGATGGCAATCAAGACCAATTCACCCTCTTACTTGGCGATCGATCGGGAGATTAGTTTGCTCTTAATTGTAGCTTATAGAGCA